GATTTCTCTAGACTGTCCTTTAATTTACTGTAGAGTGAGTATATTCTTTCGAAGAGAAAAAATGTAGCCACACAATGAAAGAATCAAGATTATCAATTTACTTTTGAGCTAGTTATATAAATATAAAATATCTTTCTTTTATTCCGAAATATCCAACAGCCAGATATTATAAATGTGTTAACATATTTTAACTATGTTTGGTATCGTTCTATACATAATTCTATGCCTTCGTTTATTGCTGGTTTAATATATTTTTTTAAATATCAATTGTAAGTTGTGTATCATAGCCGTTTGTGCAGGTTTCATCGCTAGAGGAGGGGCGGCGCCGACAAAAGGCGCTTGCGACTTCAAAGCCTGTTAGGAGGATCAAAGAACCGGTTCATAGATAATACAGGTCGGATCAAACCTTTATCGGGTGAATATCGTTTCATATCTGATTGTCGGTTTTAGACTACCACAATCAAGTTTGTAACTGAGGAGATGAGTCAAAATAAAAGACGCTCACATAACTTACACACACACATACACAAAAGATACCCGTCATTTTAACCCGTGTTAAATTATTGGAACGAAATTTCCCTTTGAAGCAAGAGTTGGTTCATTATCAATTATTTCAACACACATACCACAGACAGCACTGATCTAAATGAAAAGTACAGGTAGAAATATATATCAAAGAGCGTAAATCTCTGAAACAGTGCATCCAGCGTTTAATCTCAACAATCAACGGTGTGTCTGTTTCGTTTCAGAGCTAAATCCGGCCGGTGCAACGTGTCCAAGTGTGTCCGGGTGCCCGGATTACCCGGCTATGACCGGATGTGCGTTCGTGCCGTCGCACTCGCCCCAGCGATTAGGCCCACTGCCCTTCTTGTTGGGATATTCGTTTGGGGTCATGCCCGGATATTTCGAAATAGATAAGTATAAATAAACGTAGTTTGTCTATTTATTTCCGTTCCTTTTAGATGGTTTTGAATGACGTACGTTATTGTTGAATAGGACACTGACTCTTGATATGCTATTTAATTCTTATAATACTGTCTACCTAATTGAGTTTTCTTTTTTATAATAATATATCGACGCCGCTACTGTGAATATTTGTTTTCAAATTCAATGTTAGTTGTATTTGCATGTCATTTTTAAATGTTGATTAAAACGCCAACGGAATGTGAATGAGTTTAATGCAATAATAGCTTTTTACTGAATTAAAATTATAAAGTAAAATTTTGGAAATTATACAATTAAATTTTGAGTTTTAAATTTTAAAAACATAAAAATACAGTATATTGACCATTGGTTTGTTAGCATATTCTATTTTTATGTTTTTATCGACCTAACCTCAAAAACTAACAAGGTATGTTACAAACATTAGCATTCGCGTATAATTGTATTTTTTTCTGACATTTCATGCACATTCCACGCGATGTAAACTGCTTTTTAATATTAATGAAAAGGCGTAATTTGCATATTGAAACGTGTGTGTTTCGGTTTGGAGTTATTTATTTTATTTGTATGCAATGGCCACTGTAAGATTTTGTTTTTTTGATGTTGTTTAGTTTCTAGTTGTAGTTATAAATATTATGATATATATATATGTATGAAAATACAAGCCGAATATTAACAAAAGGAAGAAAATGTGTTAATTTATCATTGAAATCACTAATGAAGTTATTGTGATTAAAAGGATCAGACATGGTCATATCAGGCCATCGTGTTGAAATCCCACAGGCAACAACCAAATTTTCTAAGGAAATGGGTACCGTTTCCACGATGAAGGATTTTACTGGTGGTAGTACGGCTTGTGAGTCCGCACGGGTAGGTACCACCACCTTACCTATTTCTGCCGTGAAGCAATAATGCGTTTCAGTTCGAAGGGCGGGGCAGCCATTGTACTGTTAAATGTGAGATTTACAACTCATGTCTCAAGGTGGGTAGCGGCATTTACATTGTAAATGTCTATAGGCTTAGGTAACCACTTAATATCAGGCGGACCGTGAGCGTTCACCCACTCAAGCAAAAACAAAAAACAAAATCACCATTTCTGCCGCAAACCAGTGATTAATGCCGGTTTACAGCTTTAGTGGAATACAATAAAACCTTCGATCCTATATGTCAACGTGGGTGATGGTATTCACGTTGTGATTATAAGCTCTGGTAGCCACTAAAATCAAAATAAGGTTATAGGACTACTTTTTTTTATTGCTTAGATTGGTGGACGAGCTCACAGTCCACCCGGTGTTAAGTGCTTACTGGAGCCCATAGACATCTACAACATCTACTCTATCTCTCTATCTACTCAGACACAGCCCACTGAGTTTCTCGCCGGATCTTCTCAGTGGGTCGCGTTTCCGATCCGGTGGTAATGCTGCGAAGCACGGCTCTTGCTAGGGTTCGTGTTAGCAACGTCGTCAGGTTTGAGCCCCGTGAGCTCACCTACTAGTTAAGATTAGGCTGATATAGCCTCTCAAGGCTATCAGCTTAGGTAGGAAAAAAAAATCTAAGGTCTCAGTATAGTTACAACGACTGCCCCACCCTTCAAACAGAAACGCATTATTTCTGCTTCACGGCAGAAGTAGGCAGGGCGGTGGTCCCTACCCGTGCGGACTCACAAGAGGTCCTACCACCAGTAATTACGCAAATTATAATTTTGCGGGTTTAATTTTTATTACACGATGTGCCTGCTGCAAAGGCTATTAATCAGCAGTCCCTCGATCTTTGCGTTTTTTGAGTACGTATTTCGTTAGAAAAATTGGTACCCGACTGGGATTCGAACACCGTTGCATCGTTCAGACGTTTTATCCTTTAGGCCACGACGACATATTTAATTCTGACTGCAATTTAGCTTTACATTCTCTAACTGCAAGTTCAGTGTTGTCTTTAACATTCTTCTTTTAATTGTAATATTCGGTAAGTATTATGTATAGCCTTTACTTATAATAATAGTTTTAGACAATTAACAGAACAATTCTTTTTCAGACCTTCCTTTCCCCACTAACCTCGGCAACTAGACACATTTCACAAGAATTTCTCCTTTCTGTGTGCTATTTGTGTTGACTACGTTTATCGTTCACAATTGTTTGTGGTGAACTGGCGAGCTCGTGGACTCACTCGGATACACCACTTGCTCGCCATACTTCTATCACGAACGCACATTTTGTGAACGAACTGACGTTGAATTTTCAAAATTAATTAAAAAAAGCAAATGTAAGCTCGAGAAACGTTAGCACTATGTTGTTTGAGCACATAGTTTAACATTTCCTAGTTTACTGAACAGATCAGATGCGAGTTTGTCTTCGTATTTTGTCTTCTCTATTAGTCGTGCTGATGAGTATCACGTAGCTGCTCAAAAATACTCATCTGCAAGACAATAAAGAGAATCTACAGAATAGACTGCATGTCAAGGCAAAATACTTAGACTGAGATAAGTACACCGAAAGGAGGAATTTGTCACATTAGTGACCGAGGCTGGATTCCTTTACCGCTCCAAAATAAAAATAAAAAAAATAAAAGAAGACCGAAGTCTGAAGGCTAAATAACACGCTTGGAGGTCACGCGTATTCTTGGGGAATTAACACATATGTGAGATGTTATTGCTTGAGAATACACGTAGCTGACAAGGAGTAATGCATCAACCGCGGGCTGCTTAGAAGATAGTTTTCAGGAATACGAACCGAAGCGATGAACAACGATAGACATTCAATGTTAAAAAAAAATCCGTTTGGTNCCGAAGTCTGAAGGCTAAATAACACGCTTGGAGGTCACGCGTATTCTTGGGGAATTAACACATATGTGAGATGTTATTGCTTGAGAATACACGTAGCTGACAAGGAGTAATGCATCAACCGCGGGCTGCTTAGAAGATAGTTTTCAGGAATACGAACCGAAGCGATGAACAACGATAGACATTCAATGTTAAAAAAAAATCCGTTTGGTTGATCCGTTAAGATAATTCATAGACGCCTAGTAAAACAATATGTTATGCACCAGTGCAGAACAAGTTATCTGGTTCTACGAAGAGATATTGACTCTAGGGCATTAAATGTATCATAAGGGATACTTACGAGGAATTTTTTGAGATGGTCTCGTCATTTACGTTAGACAATGGCCTTATATTGCACCGACGATGAACAATCACTGTCCAGTGGGTATTGTTCTCTGTCTCTCAAGACAATCAAAATATGGTTTAACTGTTTCCAATAAATTAACCAAAAAATTGCATAATTAGTAGTCCCTAGTAACTTCAATACGAGTATTAGATAAAACAGATAACGGCAGTCGTTTGTTTCCAGAAAATATTGGAGAACTATGGACTTATCAAGCAAGCGCCAGCTAGTGCCAGTTCGGTCGCAGTATCGGTCCAACGAAGCTGCCAACATGAATGTTCCTGTGAAGAGACCAATACTTACCAAGCATTCTTTCAAACCAAGTCATAAAGGATTTTTTGAAAGTTGTAACATTTGTTATACCACTGATTTCTCTTACAACTTTTTAAATTTAATAATATAATGGTTGAATATTACAATAAATGTATTAAATAATCTGATTCGTTTCATTCTTACTTTCCTTATTTCATTATATAAAAGGTATTTCAGTTGTTATGTTCTTCTGATGAAAATCTTGTTATATTGGAATCAAATATCCATATTACTAATATTCCAGCTCAAGAATACCGTTGCCAATTGAAGACGTGAGGCGAAAATCGCAATTGGTCAGGGCAAATGACGAATGTTTTAGTCACCATTAATTAAATGGTAATCTCCTAAATATGAATATAATTTCCTAATGGTAAATTATGTGTGCAACGAAGATTATACTTATATGGAAAAATAAAAAGTCTTGAGTATCTTGTATATTCATCTAAGTGTTGTTTCGAACCGGTGGTAAAGTTAACACGATTGGCAAACGCCTGTATACAGCTACCTGATTTTTTTTGTCTTGAATTGCACTAAAAATAACTAAAAAATAACTATTACATCTTAAGTGTTGATCTGAAATAATACACATTTTACTCACAATAGTTTATTTCTATAAACTATCACTTATAATATCCAGCATGCGACATCAATCGCTAAGCAAAATAAAAATCTGAATTCCGTAACACAAGAAAGTAACACCAATTTAAAAAGATTGCTATTTACATTATTATAAGTCTGGCTGAATATTATCTTAAAATCTACAATCACCTTGCACAGTTTCCAACTAAAACATAAAGAACAACATTGTTGGGAGTTTGTTTCTGTTTTCACTAAAATAATATTTTTAAATTATAGGACAGAGAAATTGAGGTTCTTAAATGTTATATATTACATCTAAAATTTATTAAGTATTTAATCAGCGACGTAATAATTACTTACAAAAGCGGTAATATGGACTTGACAATGTGTTTAATGCATGTTAAAATAAATTAATACTAATCTAAATCGTCAGCCTCACGAAATGGAGCTACTCTCTCCCGGAATACCTGTGGGTCCGTCATAAGCGGAGGCGGTTCAGTGTTATTCGTATTATCTTTTCGTCTTAGATCAAGAATCGTAGTTTCAACATTATTCGCTACGTTTTCTCTATTTGTAGTTCCGCTTGGTATGGAATTCCCAGGATTAGAATTACTAATTGCTTTGTCTGTATCGCCGTTTTTTCTGGCAATTTCTTCTATCTTGAGGGTTCTGTCTCCGTTTGGAGTATTATATATAACCCCAACGGATGTTGTATCTGTATTACTGTTATCTAAAGCTCTGTTTGTGTTGCCTATTTCTGAAGCACCATTTTCTGTTGAATTATTTGACATATCCCCAGTTTGAGTGGTGTTTGTCTGTACTGTGGAAACAGACGGTGTTGTCTGTGTCGTAGACTGAGCTGTGTTTTGTACAGTTTGTGTAGTCGACTGTGTGGTAGGAGGCGTTGCTTGTATTGCTGTACTGGGAGCATCGTGGTAAGCGGCACCACTGGCCATCGCAGCAATCCCAGCTAAGCCCATCATTCCAGCCATACCACGAGCATGCGTGCGCCAGAGTAACTGCTGCAGTTGTGCTTGCTGTAGTATTACAGGCAACTCGTAGTGGTGGAAGAAATACAACATAGAATGCTGTAACAAAAAAAAACATATTTTAAGATTGACATTATTGAAGCAATATTCGCTGAATAAATAAGAAAATAAATAGGGCAACGGCGTTGGCTAATATAGGATGTTGGTAGACAGTACACGGACAGATTATGAGACACGTCCGTTGAACTGAGCAAAGTCCTTTAGACAAATAAATGAGCGACTCGTGACAGAAGCGTCACTCCTCCCAGCCTTATTTATTTATTTCTGGGTCAAAGTTCTCTCCCCTCGCGACGTCCGACGTAAGTTTTAATTAAGAAACTTGTGACCGCTCCTGGCTCAACTTTTATTTGAAATTATATTTTCTGATCCCTCCGTTTTGATTTTTTCGGAGTGGTAGTATAACGGGTTAGCGGCAACTTGAGACACCTTCATGATTTATTATTCCCGGTGTACCAAGAACTTCAAAGATAAATTGAAAGAATTTCGGTGTAATCCTTTCCATATGTTACACCTCTGAATTTGGGGTTGATCATTAAGAAAAATTTAAATTTTTGTCGTTAAAGAAATGATGTGTTATTACGGTGTACCAAGAACTTCAAAGATAAATTGAAATAATTTCGGTGTAATCCTTTCCATACGTTACACCTCTGAATTTGGGGTTAAACATTAAGAAAATTTTAAATTTTTGTCGTGAGAGAAATGATGTGCAGCTTATTTAAAAAGCAAAATTCACATTATCAAAAATCGAGATTTATCACGTTGTATATGTCAACAGAATAAATATATCGGTACAAAAGAACAGTGCTAATTAACATGTCCCAATTCTGTCCTAATCTGTTCGCAGATCATCGCTACGGCAAATATAAAAAAAAAGGATCAAACNGTCAACAGAATAAATATATCGGTACAAAAGAACAGTGCTAATTAACATGTCCCAATTCTGTCCTAATCTGTTCGCAGATCATCGCTACGGCAAATATAAAAAAAAGGATCAAACATTTAACCTTTTAAAGGTTTTAAAGGTATTTAATGGACAGAGATGATGCCCTTTTATACGTCCATTAAAATCGGTCGCTTTGAGATTTAGCGCCCGCTCTGTTAGAATAGACACGTGAATAAAAACGAGGTCGGCTTTATCAATTTTCAGATGCTTTTTAACAGATTGAAGCAACGATTTTTAAGCAAAAATTAAAAAGTTCTGTATATTTATCCACAGTATTAAATTGGACCTGAATTGTAAAATAAAAGTACGAGATAGTAAAAAAGTATATTTTAAATACTGAAGGCCTCAAACCGTCTCCATACGAAATTCTCTAAGACATACAAAACCAAATTGTCTGTATCACAAAGTAACCGACATTGTTTGACTTAAGTTTAACTATAATTTGCAAGAGATCTGGAAGATTATAACACTTTACTTTGTATGATGGTAGACATTTTCTGTTGGTTTAGGACTCGGCAGATATTAACACAAGTGCGGCTATTAAATCTTCGAAACAAGAGGGATCTCAAGTTAGTCCTTCTTATAGTCATTGTACGATAGGTGTCATAAGGAATTATAAATATTACAGAGGGAAGTCTGGCTAAGTAATTATTAATTGAAAGTAACGGCTTAGAGTAAGCTTGTTGTGGACAAGTTGAAATTAATGTGACGCCGAAAGGAAGGCCGGTTTGATATTATGCGCGGCGCATCACCGCCGGCCGGGAGCGACCTCGTGAAATATGATTTTTATTAATAAGTTGACACGCTCGATGATTATAAGATAAGCCCTCACTTTGCATTCCGAGGGAGCTCCTTGTTTTCCGTCGCCCCACGGAGCGGGCCTGTAATCCAACGGAGCCTTTCCTCGCTCCAGTTAAATTCGCTCGAGGGGCACGCAATTTGATCTATGTTTTTATTTATAACCATTAACTGAGATCCAAGTTTAGACGGCTTCGTCTAAGCCTAACGTGTGAAATTTTATTATTTTATCTTTCTGATCCAGCGTAGATTCTTTGGATTTCGATTTTCGATGTTTGTACGAAAATACCAAAATTTAATAAAGTTGAACCATAACTCATATGTTTACTGGTGTTAGGGGCTTACTAAGAGGATAATAGACATATCCGTGCATGCTCTTAGTAAGCTTAATAGCCATTGTTAAAAAATAGGATAACTGGTACTATAATTGATACTATAGCCTCGCTCTTTAAAAGGGGTCGCCCTCACGACATAAGTGCCAGTTCCTCATCACGAATTAGGCATAGCAACTTCTTTCCCGCCATCAAAAGCTCTAGCCAGTTCATGCCGTAGGCCTCAAAGGCCAAGAATACCTTTTTTTCTCGGGCAGAGGTCCAAACCTCATATTTCGTGTCCGCCTAGGGGGTGCGCGGGTTATGGGGGACTTGACGGTCTGCACTCTCTCACTCGACGTCCAATCTCTACCCGGGGTCCGAACCGAGGCAGAGTAGGGGTTTCCCGCGGTCAGCACTACAACCAAACTCGCAGCGCCAGCAGACGAGTCGTCTAGGCAATACCACTTGAACCGCACCATTCTGCCAGGTCGGAACGCGATCCGCAACCAGCCGGTTGTTCATACACAGCAATTCCGTAGGATTGCTTCCATGTTCAGCGCTCTAGAGTGCAGGTAGCAGGCCGCGCTACCTCATCCCCTTAGGTCGCCCCGTAACCTTTACCGGGGGGGAGGTCGCTTCCTACAAGGGTCGAGTCGAGGAGTCGAGTTTGCGAACGTGTGTCTGGCCGCGTTCTCGTCGCAGTCACAGCGGTGGCTCTCCATCGTCGGTTTCCTTCTGGCGACGACGTGGTGGTATGGGCCAAACTATCGGCCGACATGTTCACTAAACGTCGTGACTACGCTTCCAGCACGGACCGCCGAGATTAGAGCCTTTGCACTCTAATCGCTCCTTCACCGGGACGTGGCTCTCCCTGACGCGGAGTTCGCATCGCCACACATAATCGACGGCGAGTTCCTCCGACCCCAAATCCTTGGGAGGTGTCCCGGCGAGAACGCACACTGTCTCGAAGGAGATGATGCGCTACTGCACGCTGCTGGCATCGCAACGCCGCGATGTTCCTGCGCGTCAGGGCGTGGTAACATACAGAGGCCCCGTACAGTTCTATGGACCGCACCACCCCCACATAAAAGCGGCACGCCACCGTATCGGGCTCTCCGACGTTTGGCAAGAGCCGACTGAACGGACCGACCGTCGCCATCACCCGGGGGCCCAACTTCTCGGAGTGAGCGCGGAAGGTCTAACGTCCGACTACAGAAATTGTCTTCTAACATTTAGACAGCACAATGTTGTACGACTCGTAATAACCATTGACTTTAATGAGAAATCAATATAAAACCTCCATCTCTTTGTTGCTGTAGATAACACGGACCATGTCAAATCGAATGGTTACGTTTCCATATAAATCACAACGAGAAGCTCTTGAGACAATAAATCGATAGTCTCAAGTTGTATACCAGTTATAATAGAAAATCAAATCAAAACGCATGACTGCATCCTGAACAAATATATTTTATGCTTTACCACACAGGATACAAAATGTTACCTACCTTTCAAAAAAAAGACCTACAATATTTTCTTTGTATTGCATGATGATTTTTCTATATCGTTCAACATGTTGGATTTGTATGAGGAAAATCGATAGCTCCATAATGTTAACCCTAACTTGGTTGCATCGAAACGGGCCTTTTATCACTATCTAGGCTACGAAAGATTTCAGTGTCAATTTTAAGACCTACATATCTGATGATACTTTTAAGAAATCGCGAACATTTCCTATTCTTTGTTTACAAGCGTTTTGCATTCACTCCTTTTTTAATCAAATAATTTCTCTCTCTTCCTAGCTATTTATCCCACATTATGGTGGGGTCAGCTTTCCTTATTCTACTCTTACACTTCGCTCTATCTTCGACATCCTCGTCAGCAACATTGCGTTCCCTTTTGTCCTTCAGCATTAAGTCCTTCCACCTTGTCCTGGGTCTAATTTTCGACGTAGTCAGATGCCCTTCTTTTTATGTGACCATACCATCTCAGTCTACTCTCCTATTTTCATCTAATAATTTATCATTATATAAAGAAAAGCGCAAAAGTTCCTTATTCAATATCAATCAAAATATTTCTGATGTACTAGGAGAATCAACAAGTAGTGAGAATGAGATAGAATATATAGACTATTGATAACGTAATAATTTATTTTTCTAGATAGTCTCCGAGTCTCTCTACACACCGAGTCTAGTGCTTTTCCAAGGCTTCAAACCCTTTCAAAAAAAGTTTTGTCTTGTTCCTGCAAAAACCTCTCCACGGCATCCATCACCTCGTTATCGTCTTCGTACCTGTTTCCCCTTAAGTATTCTTTCAATTTGGGGAACAGATAAAAATCGCTAGGCGCCAGATCTGGTGGATAAGGGGGGTGGTCAACCAATGCGAAGCCAGCTTGCTGAATGGCAGCCATTGCAACTGCCAACATGTGCGCAGGTGCATTGTCATGATGAAGCATGCCCCTTCGAAGTTTCCCTCTCTTTTTCTCTTTGATGGTATTCCTCAATTTGGAAATTAAAGCTGCATAATATTGGCCTGTAATAATGGTTCCACGCTCCAGGTAATCAATCAACAGTATTCCATCAACAGTCCCAAAATATTGAGGCCATAACCTTGCCAGCCGATGCCATGACACGAAACTTCTTCGGGGTCGGTGATGATGGCCGTTTCCATTGCGAAGATTGCTGTTTTGTCTCGGGATCAAAATAATGGACCCATATTTCGTCCACTGTTACGAAACGAGACAAAAAGTTTTCAGAATCTTCTTGAAACTTGTCCAACAATATCTTCGAAACGTCAAGTCGATTTTATTTCTGATTGTCGGTTAACATTCTCGACACCCATCTTGCGGAGACTTTTCTCATATTCAAAGATGGTTTCAATATGGACTGAATACTTCCATATGAAAATGCCCGTTTCTTGTATTAAGTATCAGATGGTGGTAACTCTTCGGATGTTCAATACAAATTTTCTCGACTTTCGCAACATATTCTTGGGTGTCTTCCATGTTCGTTCTCCCTACTCTAAATTGAGAAGCCCACCTTGCGACAGTGGAATAGGGCGGAGCAGATTCTCCTAATGTTGCCTCCAAATCGCAATGAATATCTTCATTAACGTCATTAACTTTCGAGAACACGTTCCAATAAAGCAAACAAATGACTAAATTCAGAAAATAACAAAAGAGAACCGAAGATTTTTTCTTTACTAATATTACAAATATGTATCTGAGCTATGCCTGCCAGTATTTTTTTTTAGAAAGAGAGATTTTTTAGAGATTAGAGAAGATTAAGCATTATCCAATGTCAAATTAGACATGCAGTGACTGGTATCGACGGTAGGTTGAGGTCCGTCCGTCGTGTTATTAACTTCCGTGCACCGTCAATACCGGAAATCGACGACGGAGTGGTTCCCGTTCAAGGCGAACGCTGCCCGCATAGGCATAACATAAATATAACTAAGGGACATACACATATATTGAGTATACGAGTCGATTCGGCACGATCTGCCACGAACCAAATCATGCGATCCCGTCACAATGGTTTTTTTAAAGTAATTTATGTAACCTATTTCTTTTACGATCTATTTATAATAATATAAAAAAAAATACCTGTATAAAAAGCCACGACGTAACAAGAGCCAGACTGCTGTATTGCCCGTTGAACCGGTAGTGGTATGCGTAGAATGAGAAGTGATATAGATAGAAAAACCTGCGGACAAAGGAAAATACAATTATTAAAAAGGCGTAATTAATATAACCGTTATCATTTACCTCCAGAATATGAGATTTTATTTTATATACACACTTAATATATTACTTTATGGAGCATTTTATCGTATTAGTCTAAGATTTGTATGATACGGTCTAAGTAGCGAAAATATACAATATAATTAAATCACTCTTTACACCATTCGATGGTGATGATTCCGAAAAATATATCGCACATACGGTGCTTATAAAGTCTCTTATGCAATTTTTGTTAACACTGAACTGAGTATGAGAAAATACGTTTTTAATATTTATAGATATCAGCCAGATGTTTGCTTTTACTGATGAAGTTTAAAGTTGTACTTCAAATATTATCGTTTTTATTTCTTTAATCTAATAGAATTATATAATAAGATGTTGAATTTTCCATTCCGTTTCTCCTGAAAAATTAAATAGTTTGCTTAAGTGACGTTATCGCACCGTATGTGCGATATGTATATTCAAGAGAGGAATGCAGCTATCCCGATCTTAAATCACAAGCTATTAACTGTATTTACTTCCATTAAATTAATATTCGTACAAAAACCTGTGATATAAAAAGAACAACCGATAAAAGCATATAAATACAACATAAAGTCGTGGCCTATAGCACAAAACGCCTAGTGCATTCTTATCCAGCGATGCGACTGCCGGTGTTCGAATCCCGCATGCAGGCGCCAAACTTTCTATTGAAATCCGTCTTACACGATGAAGGATTAGGATTATTGGACATCATATAATTTAAATCAACCCGCAAAAGTTTTAATTTGCGTAACTATTCGTGGTAGAGCGTGTTGTGAGTTCGTACGGTTTTCACCACTCTGCCAATTTTTTTTGCGAAGTAGTAATGCGTTTCGGTTCGAAGGGTGGAGCAGCCGTTGTATTAAAAAACTGAGACTTAGACCACACGTTTCAAAGTGAGTGGCGGCATTTACGCTGTTGATGTCCATGGGCACCGGTATCCACTTAACAGAAGGTAGGGCATGAGCTCGTTCACCAATCTAAGCAATAGCATAAAAATTACTTATGTGAGTTGACTTAATAAATAATGCTATCTAACACCTACTTCTTTGTCACATGAAACACGATATCCTCTTAAGCTTATCAGTTAATCCATTAGTGTATTATCAACAACAATAGACTTTGTTATAACTATAATGGAAGAAGAAAAGTCGTCACATACATTGTGCTAGCTGTCTCGTTAAGTGTACACAATAATATGACATCGATAGAGCAACAAATAACGGCGAGGCTGCGGTGGCGCCATACCTGACGCGACGCTGTGGGCGGACATTATTTTACGTCTATTGAAAACACCACGTGTATACACTAATATGTAATCTATTCCATACACGTTTAACCGGTTTTTGTCTCGTATTTCTTGTCCATTGGTGGATTTTTTGGGAACGAAGTTCCTTATGGGACGATGCGGAGGGGTACCTTAACCGGGGAAAAAACGTCCGTAACGTAAGATTTTTCTATTTAGTTTGTTATTTATTACCTAGACAGGTGAACGGTCGATTGTATGTAGCAGATATGCGAATGTTGCGATGGATGTCTAGAGTAACGAGAATGGATAGAATACGCAATAAATATGTTAGAGGAAGTCTGAAAGTGGCACATGTGACAGAGAAGCTGAGAGGTCGGCGTTTGGGATGGTATGGACATGTGATGAGACGAAATGAAAATGAGGTTGATAAGACAGTTGAATGTGGAAGGATATAGAGGAAGAGGTAGACCTAAGAAGAAATTGATAGATTGCGTGAAAGATGATATGTGTAAAGAAAACATGTTGCGCCGACCCCAGGTGACTGGGAGAAGGGCAGGAGAGTGATGATGACAGGTGAACGGTCGACGGCCTAATCGATATATTAGGTGGTTATTAGTACCTACAGATATTTTAGGTTGAATGCCGCCCGCCTGGACATGGACCGAATGATATCGAAGCGTCAATTGTGTTTGAATTTTAAAATATTTCAATGTCTTTATATAATATAACTTTTATTTTTGACATCAAAAATTTGTTCAGTGAATAATTTCAAAGAAAACACGTCGTCAAAAATAAAAGGAAAAGAAAAAAAACAAGGGAACATGTTAAAAATGTTCCTTGCGTTCGGTACATTCTGTTGAGAGCGTCTCTCTCGTCCACAAATCCCTTTACAATGTTACTGCGCCGAGCCAATCGTATATTTCACATGTACACTTGTAGATATCATTAGGTTCGTTATCTGCTTATTTCGGTGGATAAATTCCCAATGTGCGAGGAGGGCACAAACGGGGACCGGGAAAGGCGAAATGTCACCTCGTTATCTGAAAAGGTTGCAATTTTATTTGAAATCGATATTCAATGAGAGGATACGTTGCCGGCGCTGTAACAGGATGACGTTTCGTGTTTCTATGTTCGTTCATGATGCATCGTGCTTATTAGACGCTGCAACCGAAGAACGATCGCTTTGTTTGTGGAATGTGATTATTTTTCAATAAAATATCGGGCGACTATAGATATACGAACGCAACGACACTTATTATTACGCCTATTTATAATCTATAAATAAATAAAAACGATGTGTACGACAATGTTTGGCGGTGTTCGTTTAAAATAATAACAAACAGTAGACGGTATTCTTTTTTAATAGAGAATCAAAACTATTATTTGCGACAAAGAAGTCAGAGGACTCGGCGTTTTTTGTTGTTGTGTTTGTCGGATTGTTGTTTCCATTTACAACTTTTGAACTCTTTAATTAATTATGAATACAAAAAATTATGAACCCTATATACACGGTCAATTCGGTCGAAAGTAAGTTTTTGGACAATAAAATGCAATAAATAATACGAGTCGTTAGAATTATCGCGATCCTCCGAGGTGGTCATTCATTGTGTTTCATCACATTGATGCCTTTACTAAGCACATCAAATCAGATGGACAGTCATCTCAGCAGAGCTTTTACAAAAAAAAAAAATTTGTGGTCTAAACAAATCGCTGGTTCCAGAACGATCTTAAACCAAAATACAGCATTATAAAAATGATATTACGGTAGATTTTTACCGGTGGTAGGACCTCTTGTGAGCCCGCACGGGTAGGTACCACCACCCCGCCTATTTCTGCCGTGAAGCAGTAAGCAGCCGTTGTAACTATACTGAGACCTTAGAACTTATGTCTTAAGGTGGGTGACGCATTTACGTAGTAACTGTCTATGGGCTCCAGTAACCACTTAACACTAGGTGTGCCGTGAGATCGTCCACCCACCTAAGCTATAAAAAAAAATACTCAGTCACATTGATAGTCATAAAATTCATACGCACTTTTTCAAACAAGCGTATATATACTGCCGCTAAATTTGTTATTTACAAATTCGATGAAGCCCTCACACACGTCGAAACACTCGGCATAAACGCGCAGGGGACGCGATTAACATGTTAATATGAGCACAACGCTCCCTAATTAGTAGCTCGAAATTAATCCCGACCGTACTGAACGTGTCTCTAGATTAATACCTCGTGTCGGTGCGGTGTGTTAATCTCGTATCTGGTTTCAATTCCTTATGATAACGTAGTTACTGGCCCCGTTAACAGTACCTGGCACCAGACGAGCGAGAGCGCCTATATGTATGTATGTTATTTCAACTTTTGAAAATTATTGTGACATTTCAAACTGATTGTTATATTGTATAAGCAGATCTTCAAACGTTTGAAGTCAATTTGAAGACTTATTTATTTATTTAAGGATTACCGACAGGGTTTACAGTAAGACATAAAAAAAAATTGACATGTATAGAGCAATTGATAACTGCAACTCTAATTATAGGCAATCATATCAAAAATATAATAATAAAAATAGTTAATTTCTAAATTATATCGTAGCATTTATAATTACGTTTACAACAAGAGTAACCCGACCTAAGAATTCAGTCATAAAAGTTGGTCGAATGCCTTCTGTAAATTCTTCATTTATTTCAAATGCCAATTTTGGTACGTGATATGTTGATCATAGTGTAAAGATAGTTGGTTACGTGATTAATACATAAGAATTATAGATGAGTTGTAGAGTTATGGATGTCTATGGACTCCGGTAACCACTTAACACCAGGTGGGCTGTGAGCTCGTCCACCCATCGATGCAATAAAATAAAAATAAAAAAGAAACTATAGTTGCTATTTTTTTATGAATAGCACGTTTGTTTTCCTTTAATTCAAGGAACTGTTTATCCGTAACGAGAATCCCAAAACACAATGAATTGTGGAATAATAAAACGGCTCTTTGTAAAGCAATTGGTCTCGGAGACAAAGAGCGATGCGTCGATTAAGTTCTTAAGCAACAATTTCACGGCGGAATCGGCTCCGGAATAATTTAAGGCGAAGGGGCAGAAGTCTGTCCGGCAATGAGGAGAGGCTTCACAGGCGTTGGCCCTTTGAACGACATCAAACGACGCGAGATTACCAACGCATTAAACATACATGTTAGAAGAAACAAGCGCCGTTTTCTTAATGTGATTTCGTCTATAAATATTTTATCGCCTCCTTAATGGAAAATGTAAATGACGTCACGGGTGTACTACGGCTGCGGACCGTCGATGAAAAGCTAGGTTTAGCTTTTGAATATTTTTATTTCCTTTTCAAGTATTTTTTTTTGCTAGATAATGTCTTTCGAAGATGTAAACTTACTTACGAAGTAATATTTGTGTAATTTAAATATACATTTCGTACTGTAAATTAGGTTTACTGGTGGTAGGACGTCTCGCGATTCCGCACGGGTAGGTACCTCCACCCTGTCTATTTCTGCCGTGAAGCAGTAATACGTTTCGGTTTGAAGGGCGGGGCAGCCGTAGTTAAAATGAGACCTTAGAACTCATGTCTCAAGGAGGGTGGCGGCATTTACGTTGTAGATATCTATGGGCTCCGGTAACTACTTAACATCAGGTGGGCGGTGAGCTCGTCCACCCATCTAAGCAATAAATATAAAGGT